ATCAAATACAGTTAAAACAATTTTTAAAAAAAAATTTTTTTACAATTAGAGTTTCTGCACAAAAACAAACAATTCGGTCAGCAGGTAAAAAAAAAGGCAGATTTTTCACTACACAAAACTAAGTTTCCTTTTGGTCCCACTTGACAAAAAGACACTGAAAGTGCAGAAAGAATTAACTCACTATTCTGCTAAGTTTCAAATGTAAACAAATATGGCTGCTATGGTAAGAAAAATTAGGCTTAGCTGCACTTAAACAACTTTTAAACTGTTGATAATTCTGCAACTATTGCATGTAAATTAACTAAAGGCATAAAAACTTTAACTGGAAGATAAGAGTAACATAATTTGATCATTTTTAAAGCAAAAATGCCCAATTTACCAACATATAAGAAATAAAAAAATGAGCTCACAGAGCCAAGTAACAGTGTATACATGTAAGATACAACAAAATATGACAGCTGTTTCAAAAAAAAAAATAATTGGCGACTTCAAAATTGACCTTCTAAATTTGGTGATCTGCCCTTAAATTCATCTCTTCTCACAGGTTCCAGATTTTTCTATCTTACATAACGTTTTAATGCAGATGCCCCTTGTCCAATCAAATTAATTGTAAACCAAAACTCTGAACTGAAACTTTCCCACTCACAACCTTCTTCCTCTGAAAGTACTATAACTCTTCCTCTTTTCCGCATAGCTCTCGTGCTGGTAAGAAGCTCTTAAACCATGCTGCTGCTGCTTGCTTACTTAAGATGACGTTCTACATCAAAATGCAATTTACGTATTCAAATATAATTAGGAAACATCTTGTCTGAAAAAAAAATAATTTAATATATGTAAAAAATTAAAGATTGTGATTTTTCAAGATACGGTATGCTACATTGTGTCCTCATGCTTTCCACTCTGCCACACTACGGTCTTCTCGATCATCTACGCAGCATCGTAAGCTGTTAAAGTTCCAGTGAATTCATCTACGCATTTTAAAATCATTACATATTCATAAAAAGTCAAGACAGGATTAACCTGCTGCAAGTTTTCCCAATGGTCTTCGAACTCTGCTGCCTAAAACTCCCAGTGAATCATCAAATTTGTTTCTGGTGTGTGATTTAACAGCATATTCAATAGTTCTTTGAAAACTGAGTATCTAAGTTCAAAATCGAAAGTATTTGGAATCAAGGTCAGTGCCGCCAACGTAGTGAAATATGGTTACTGTTTCTGGCTCACTTCGAATATTCGTAATGTCTGATCATCCGATCATCAAGTAAAAAGAAAAACATCCAAAGTGCTTTGAAGGTCAGCAACCTCATGAATGAAATAGTGTTTTGTGCACATTTTGCATTTTTCAGTGCTTTTATTCAAAAAATGCAATATTATCAAAAGTTATTAATGTGATATTGAAGTGGTATGAGTTCCAAATGGAGTAAATTGCGTTTTTAAATGACTTTATATTATAGGTAATAGCATTCTTTTACGATTTATTCATGGCAATGTTTTGCTTAAATTGTTTTAAAATCAAAGTTAATAATTTAGAAATTTTATGATTTATTTAAAATGTAGTTTTGTTATTTCTGAATTGGGAAATTATTGAATTTGGTAAAAATTAGGTAAAGAATTTGAAGGTTTTGCTTAGGGAAGGTTCCTAATGTGAATAAGATTTTTGTACTATTGTTTAAGTTTCTTTGAATTTATATTTTTTCATTTTTACTGTATGTTAAGAATGAAATTAGTGTTTGAAATTTTTGAATTGTAAGTATTTCTTTATGTTTCAAGATAAACTTGAGCTCTCACCTTATGAAACAATTTTTTTTATTAATCTAAGTATTTTTTTTTTTCATAAAATAGAGTGTGTTTTTAATTTTTATAATTGAATACGCAGTTTGAAAAAGGCCAGTTACCTCTATCGAAGGAACGTCTTTTCTACAGTAATGCTAATTTGGCAATTTTTGGCCACTGGTGAGAAAAACAAGTCTGCTCAACTGATAAACAAAACCAATATGATGGATATGCTGTATTTAAAAGTTGTGGAGTCTTCAAGTTTTTGTAAAGAATAATTAAACGTCTTAATAATAGGGAAAGTTTTGAGATTGTTGTGTTTATGAATGATTTTACAAAATTTTTATATTTTAAAATGCCTTCCCTAAAAAAAAATTAAATAACTGAAAAGTTGGCATCTTAATTTGTATTATAATAGAAATATTTTCATCAACAAAAATTGGAAAGACTTTTATTTGAACATTTACTTTGTGAAAAAAATTGAACTTTTACCGTGTGGAATCAAGAACTTTACAAAATTTCATTGGACAATCTTACCTCAGAACTATAAAATATGCTATTGTTTTAAAAGAACATAGTGCTTAAAATTAATAATTCAAAATTTTATGACTTTTAATGAAATGTCAAATTGAGTCAAAATATCAGTTAAAATTCTATGATGATAGTTTTTGTTTAAAAGTTACTATGTTTCATATTTTTCACATTTTGCTGCTCCAATGCTTTTTCTTTCATCCTGCTCACCCAGCTTTCTTTTGAAGGGGGGATATGTAAGATATAACAAAATATGACAGCTGTTTCCAAAAAATAATTGGCGACCTCAAAATTGACCATCTAAATTTGGTGATCTGCCCCTAAATTCATCTCTTCTCACAGGTTCCAGATTTTTCTATCTTACGTAACGTTTTAATGCAGATGCCTCTTTCCAATCAAATTAATTGTAAACCAAAACTCTGAACTGAATCCCACTCACAACCTTCTTCCTTTGAAAGTACTATAAATCTGCCCCTTTTCCGCATAGCTCTCATGCTGGTAAGACGCTCTTAAACCATGCTGCTGCTGCTTACTTACTTAAGATGATGTTCTACTTCAAAATGCAGTTTATGTATTCAAATATAATTAGAAAACATCTTGTCTGAAAAAAGAATGATTTGACATATGTAAAAAAAAAATAAAGATTGTGATTTTTCAAGATACGGTGTGCTACATTGCGTCCTCATGCTTTCCACTCTGCCACACTACGGTCTTCTCGGTCATCTACACAGTATCGTAAGCTGTTAAAGTTCCAGTGCCTTCATCTATGCATTTTAAAATCATTACATATATAATGATTTTAAAATGTGTATATATACGAGTTTTGGTGGGGCCAATTGCAACCAAAAAGAGAGGTGCACAATTACATGTTTATAGCAGTCCTATATACAAAATTTCAACATTCTGAGGCTACTCGTTTTTTGAGAGTTATGCGAGATACATACATACGTACATGCAGATGTCACAAAAAAATCTCTTCTGAATCCATTTTAAATCAGTTTTATAAATGTTTATAAATACCTTTCATAAATGTTTTTTCTCCTTCTAACATACATGTAATCCATCGTCGTTTCAAATTATCTGAGTAGTTTATAGATATACACATTTAAAGGCTGAACTAATGGCATTAATCTGCCTAGAATAACTGCCATGTCTGTATTAAACTCTTCCAACAATTTCTTCATATTATCCGTTAGATGGGATCTAAACATGTCCCAAACTAAAAGACTTTCTGGATTCTTTACGGCAATTGGATGCTTTTGCCAAACATTTCTTATCGACAATTTCACACCCTTTTTGTCACATTATTTGCAATATATGACAATAAATTTTTTTTTTCTTTCACAGGTCAATAAAATACTTCTGAAAACTTATCAGTTTGTTGTCCTTATCTTTCAGAAAACTTTGCAAAATATTTGTTTTTTCTTATAGAGCTAAAAGTTACTTTAAAGTTTTCACTTTCATTTGCATTATTTTTGCCTGCAAAATTGGCAAATAAATATACACTGTTTCTTGTTACAAGCAATCCATTCTTGCGACTTTATAGGACTTAATTGCAACACTTTCTTCTAGGAAGGTCACTTTGTTACTCCTTTATACAAAGCAAATTTATTGTCTGGTATACTAATGACTGTGATTTCCCCCCCCCCACTCACATATGCAGTTTTCACCAACACCAGACATCCTCATTGCTGCAAGATTTCTATTTTCTTTCCCAAATTGAATGACTTTGCAACTGAAACAGCACTGTATTGTTTAATTTGGCAAGAGCCATATTTACTACTAAAAGGAACACTAGATCAATAGTATTCAAAGTAAGGCAAATGAGATTTACTAAAGACTTCGATGTTCACTTCAGAATCACAGATTCAAATAGCTACAAAGAGAAAAGATCTGACTCCTAATTTCCCACATTCATTTGGGTTGGAAGTGCATTCTTACGCCATATAATGTCCTGCTTCTCAATACCCTAGAATAACATTCTTGTGTACACCTGCAATGAATACAACTTTACCACTTGTCAATACCATGTCAATTCAGTATACCACTGTTCTAAAGACTAGGAATACTTTTCAAATGAATAACTTCAAAAGATAAGAGCATCACACATGTTTTCATAAAGAGAAGGGTGCAGGTTATATGTTAAATATACCTAAAAATTAAGTTTCAAATTATAGCTAACCATTATACACCAGACCCATTTTTCAATGATGAATGCAAACACCTGGCTCCCTTATAAATCCTAAATTATTTGGGTTAATCCTGTAACTCCATATCGAGGTTTATGAAGCCTTTTGGATGCTTATTTCATGATGGTGCATTCTGGATGACCAGCAATTCATGTACTAGCATATATTTACATACACAATTTGAGCTTTGATAAATCAAAACCAAAGCAACTATTGAAAAAATTTTATTAATAAAAAATTTTACTTATACTGAAAAATTAACATTAATTTTGGATTCCACATTTTTATATCAAGTTCAACTTCCTGAAAATTTCAAGGTACGAAAGTCTAAATTATCGAAGTCAAAAGGTGTATACTTTTCATACAAACTTTCTGAGTCTTAAGAAAATGATAAAAACATGTTCAAAGATAGTATAATTGAAATACACAAATTTCAAACAAAGTAAATATGAATTCAAACAAAACTTAAAAATTTCTAAATAATTCATCAGTATGTGTATTGTTTGCTACCTGTTGCAAGGGGTCGAATCCAACATCTGGTTCCCAAATCCAGGCGCCACAAATCATTAAATGTAGTATTTGCAGTAGTACATCCACCAAAAATGTACATAGAATTACCAATGCAACAAGCACTATGGGAATACCTTTTGGAAATTGTAGGCCCAGGTTCTGGAACTAAATGACACCATTGCACAGACATGCCACAAACAGCATTGTAAAAATCTCTCTGAGTTTTTCGAACCACATCTGTTGTAAAAATAAATAGTTATATGAATAGGCATACTATAACACTGCACAAGGAATTTACTATTTTTTAATGCATAATAAACAAAAAAAGATAAATAATATTGATATAGAATAAAAATCATTCATATAAAATCAAATAGAATTCTATTTACATACTTTAAAATTTAGGTTAGGTTATGTATTTGATTATGGCAAAGCACATGATAGCTATTGTTTGAAGACGGAGCCCTTCATGGAAGATTTACTAAGGGAAATAAATTCATACTCATGTTACACATTCAAAAAAATTGCAAAAATCAACCCTGCAGCCAGGCTGTTTTACTTGGATATGGGCCTGGGTCATACTACTAGTATTCAGAGAATTTAACAGCCCCACTGGTAAAACCACTGGTATTGAAATGTTTTTCAATCATACTATTTGATAACTGTTCATGTTCTTTCTTTTAGTTTGCATTAAATGTAATACAAAGATGTTATACATTAGCTATACAGTTTGGTTTTCAATATTTAATTAACAGCTTTTTTCCACATATACACTGAAGGGCAATTACATTATGACCACACTATTAATAACATGAAGGACCACCTTTAGCCCTCAAAACTACCAGCACCCGATGTGGCATTGACACCACGAGGTGCTGATAAATAATCTGAGGTATCTGGTACCAAGAGCTCATCAACTTGTCCTGAAATTCCCACACATTGCGAGAGGGTAGTGTGGCAGCACAAATTTGTTTTTTCAGGTGGGACCACAAATGGTTTATTACATTAAGGTTAGGTGAATTTGGAGGCCAAGACCTGACTTGAAAGTCACTGGAATGTTCCTCGAACCACTCCTTGATTATTAGACACTTATGATATTATCTTGTTAGTAAACACACACTCTCTTCCAGAAATACTGATGTCATGAATGGGTAAACTTGGTCTGCAATGATGTTTGCATAGCACACAGATGTCAGGGATTGTTCTATGGGGATTATGGGTCCTAAAGTTCTTCATGAAAATATTGCCCACATCATAATAATCCCACAACCAGCTGCTTGTCTCCGTCCAACTGTGCATCCAGGAGCACAGGTTTCGCTTGGAAACTGGCATATTTGCACACGCTGTCAATGTGATGGACCAGGAAATATGATTTATCAGACCATGCAACTTTCTTCCATTCTTCTAACGTCCAATGCTGATGTTCCTCGATCCATTGGAGACGCAGCTGGCGATGACGTGCCGTCAGTACAGAGACATGCTTTGGCCTCCAGCTGCATAGGCCCATACGCAGCAGTGTACCTGACACAGTGTGTTTGAGAAACACTGTCTGGGCCACCACTGTTGCAGCTGGTGGTGATTTCGGCTGTTGTAGCTCTTCGGTCATGGTGAACAATGTGTAGCAATCTCCACTCTCCTCTAGAGTCAATGTGCCATCGATGACACACTGCTGCCCAGCGACTTGTCATTTCACCATCCATACACCACTTTCGATATGTGCTCACAACATCTGCACATGCACAGACTACCAAACACGGCATTTCTGATATTGATATTCCCAGTCATCAAGCTATAACAATTTGACCTTTATCGAAGTCTGATAAATCAGCTGCTTTTCTCATTATGTTGCTAATCGTACTATGTTTGGAAACACAATGAATAGCCCACTTTATACTCCAAAATTAGCCGCGCATGTGCAGTTGTTTTGTTCCTAAAAGATCCCCTTTTACAGATGGAGGGTGGTCATAATGTAATGCTCTTTGGTGTATATTAGAATAAGTTTATTACAGCATTCTAAAATAAAATGAAATTAGCAATAATCATCACTACCTTTATTAAAGCATGTTAAAACATCTGTGATTATGTTAATATTTGATCAACTTTTTTCTTTTGTAGTTATTGCATTACTTTAAACTTAGAAGGGTACTGTTCTGCTATCGGTACCAGATTCAGAAATGTAGAATGTATGCACATATGTACATATATTATTTAAATTATTAGAGAAAAATTATCTATTGGGGGGAAAAACTGTAGCAGTTTTTCCCCTTTGCCATCTTCTATCCTGTTCTGCAGGACTTGCTGTGCTGCGCTCATTCTACTTGAAGTGCCCTTCTATGGGACATGAAGTTCTGACAGCCGGAACACAGCATGAACGTTTCATGCTAATCTCAGTGTACAGCAGAAGTTGGAGTTAGTTGATAATATTCAGCCCCTGATTAGATAATTAACTTGTTGCAATCATTTTTGAGGTTGAGACCTTGTGACCACATTATTAGACCACTTTATTAGATGTGCATTTGAGTGTCTGCCATCAAAGTCTGAGCTCAAATTAACACTCGAACGCCAATCCATTTTGTGCACTCTGTGAGTTTTTCACAAAACTGATTGTGCAACTTTTGGTCTTATTCATTCGCTCTCCCAACAATGTTGCAGGTTCAGGTTGGAATTCTAATATTCCTCTTTTCTGCCTCTCAGAGTGGAACGTGACCCTATGCTCTATGGTAATTATTGCTTACCTGGATGAGTACTATCAACCCTCCTCATTTGTAATAAACAATTTAGAATCACCCTGTATATGTGTATATGCATGTATACACATATATTCATGGGCTAAAATCTTTACTGTATGGTAGCCCTTGGTTTTATTCTGAAAAAATCGGCAAGCGGTATTGATTGTTCATGAAATCTGGAAGTCCGCTGCAGTTTTTTGTAATAGTAACTCTTTTGGAACCTGGATTTTTGGTTATTACTATTCATTTCAGTTGCTGTGTTTGCTTGCATGTGCTTGGTATGGTCTTGGATTTTGAACTTGCTATTATTTTGCAGTGGGTACCATCATTTGAGTATGTGCGAGATGGGTAAGAGGATGAATGTTGATTAACAGCGGATGAGCCAAAATGATGAAAATTTTAACTGAATTGCTTACCTGGAGGATGGAGGAGATGGTAGTGAGAAGTCTAAACATATGCACGTGAAAAAAGGTATGTTAAAAAAAATTGATGTTTCATTTATTTATTTGTCTCTGTGCAGTAATTTTTGTTAAAAGATTTGTTGTTTAATATCTTATGATAGGAAATATGTATTTTTGGTTATTTGTTCGTCTGTGTGTTACGACAGCAGCGAATTTTTTCTGGTTTCAATTACAGTTTTAATTTTGTTTCAGCTTTCCGATTTTATTTAAGTGAAAATAGATTGATGTGTACATGGACAAAGTTAAGGCAGTGCACAATGCCTAGTTTAAGCAATTTCCCGATTTTGTTTTTAAGTGAAAATAGGTTGATGTGTACATGGACAAAGTTAAGGCAGTGTGCAATGCCTAGTTTGTGCAATTATCTGATGTTTTTTGAAGTGCAAATAGGTTGATGTGTACATGTACATATCACCATGTTTGCATAAGTCTTCGACTTTTGCATTTTTTGGTTTTGTGTAGCGGCCATCTGGAAAATGCCACGGATCCTTCCTGGTGCCGATCTTGGAGTAAAAAAAAAAAAAACGAGTCGCCAAGGGGTACCATAAATTTTTACCCATTTGTAATTACATATATATATGCATACATGAGAACAGTACTCTTAGAACCATTTCCAGAAATTTATGAAAGTTATTAAATGACATAATAATTACATCTAAAAATAATCTGTCCTTAAATGTTTTTTTAGTAGGCAATTTTTTGTGAGTTATTTGGTTGTTTTAGCAACTTTTAAGGAAAAAATTTATGAGGAAGAGGACAGAAGATATATACAACGAATTTTATAGGCTTAAGTAAGCAGTATAATTTCAACAAGAAAAACATTAAACAATCAGATAAATTTTTCAGTTGAATAGGCTATATTATATTCAATAAAATGCTAAAGATGATATGAATGTGTGTGATGATGTAGTTTTGAAGAAGGTGAAACCAATTCACTTCTTAAATCATGATCGAAATGCTGTAAAGAGATGTTAACTCATGCACAAATATGATGCATCATGAAAGATAGCTTGAAGATACTGCACAGATAAAAAGATGGTCTTGCAAACAGAGTGGCCAAATTCAACATTTTATTATTGTATAAAGCAACTCTGAACACACAATATTTACTTCAAACATGATTATGGATGTAATAGGTATTCCACAATTTTGTATACACAGTTACATTCAGGGCTGTGGAGTCAGTAGGGAAAATGGCCAACTCCTGGAATCTTTTAAAGAATCCAACTCTGACTTCAACTCCCTCATATATATGTAAAACATACACATGTGTTGGAGCTTATTTTTTTTTTTTTTTTATTATTATAAAAGAAGTAATAGATGCTACAGAGAAAAAAAAAAAAATTTATGGCACAGCAAATTATTTATAATAATTAACATTTATTGTGAAATGGAAAATCTGCGATTAATAACTTCTAAGAAACAGCACAGCTTCGGCAAGATCTTCTTAATTAGAGGACTGTAGATCTGATTTGTTAAACTTCAGAGCTAAGAAGTCTTTCCACGCTAACTTGAGTAGGAGGAAGAGCTGTAACTGTTAGGGCTACTTCTTTTAACTTTTGAGGATAGATTTTTATAGGTTCTAAAAGAGGTGTCTTGCAAGAGCAATCATATTTCTCTATTTCTTCACAGGCTGTGTAGAAATCGTGTTTGTATTATATATATATATATATATAATGTTGTATGATCTTAAATTCATTTAGTGCGAAAACAAGTTATTACTACTTGCGCAATTGCTGCAAAGTAAGTTAAGAATAATTTATTTCCTAAACAGTATTGATTAATTGATTATATTATCTCCTAAGTTTAATTAAAGTAGAATTATTTTAAAAGTGTGAATCCATATTGGTAAGTTATATTTTGAAAGATGTTTTGAAGTAATTTGAAAGCAAAATGTTAATAATGTTTTAACAGGGACTGGAGTTAAATCATCATGAAGAATAAAATTTCAATTGTAAAAGGAAAAATTAAAAACATGTAATCATTGTCATTGATCGGAAATTAGTTGACTTTTCAAGGGGAACAAACCAACTCCCGTTCAATGAACAAT